GGCACATGCAATATGCCCAGAATGTGAAATAAACCATGCACACTGCTAGGATTGGAGCATAAGGGAAGAGAGAGTGTGGAAAACAAAGTGAAATATAGCACTTTCTGCCTAGACTATGATAAGTAGCTAAAATGAATTTCTTGAAAGCCAAGAGATTTGCAGGGATATTAAGAGTCTGTTCAAATGGCAGTTGAGGGTAAGAAATGCTAAATGTAAGATAGATATTCAGAGGGAGAAGCCCAGATCCTCTTAGGAGTGACAGAGAGTGGGGGACATTAAAGTAGGCTGTCAAGGAAACCCTTTTAGGGAAGAGATGAACCCAAGGAGCCAAAGGGGTGTTCCAGTGGCAGGAAGGGAAGGGTGTTTTACAGCAACACTTGCTAGAGATGGAGGCCACTGACTTGCAGAAGGTGGAGGCCCGGGTTCTTGCTGGACTCTGTCATGTGCCAGGCAGGCTGGGTAGAGAGCATGTTGATAGCAGGATGCTGCAGGATGCACCGTGCCAAAGGGGCGTGGGTGACATTTGTGCCCTCCCTCAAGCCTTCTACTTTAGCACTCTATGAACCTCCAGGTCTAAATCCATGATATAACTTTTCCCTGCAAGATTGAAAAAGTGGATGCAGGGCTCAGAGCTGGAACCCCTCCAGCCAAATCTAAATGCAGTGCTTCTTTCTTCCAGCTTAAAGATGCCCTTTATCAGGGCCATGAGGCCTCCTCCCATGTGGGTTCTTGATCCAATTCCCTATCATCTCCCACTGGGCCTCCCCTTTAAAGGGAGGAGGGTTTGTGCCGCCCTAAGTTAGGCTGAGCTCTCTCCAGTTGTGTAGAATCTGAGTTACAAAATAGATGAATCTGTATTACAAACCTTGGCGATATTATTAATTACCTTAATTGGCAGATAAAGAAACTGAATGTAAAGCCCATTTTACAGATGCAGAGCCAGAGGATGAGAGAGAGTAAGTCTCTTGGGTAAAGTTATGCAGCTAGAAGTGCTGGGATTCAAACCCAGGCCGGAATTGCGTGCTTGCCTGTTTTATTGCCCCCTGTAGATGGTTAGTTCACGGAGGGCAATGACTTTGTCTCATTGCCTTGGCAACTCCAGAACCTAGCACTGTAACTGGTACATAAGCTGCACCCTTTAATATTAGCTCAGACTTGTAGACACTTTACGGAACTTGTGTTTGTTGAATGAATCAATGAATGACTGAATGTACAAACTAATGGATGACTCTTTTCATTACACTAGCACTGCCGGCATGGCTCCCACGGATGGGGTCTCCATTGTGGTAGCGGGGGACTTACGAGGCTTTGTGGAACAATGGAACATGTTACAGGTGGTTCCTGTAGTCTTCACAAGAGCGGAGAGATGGCCCATCATGGAGAAGCATGTTACAGTGCAGGCTTTTCTCATGCTGTCATGTTGAGAGGGCAGAAATGGATCATAATTGAGCCAGTGTGTGTACGGGGGCTGGGGTATTAGTGGCAGGTGGAGGGGAGGGAGGGCTCTGCTCAAGAGAGAGTAAACGAAAACACAAGAGAAACTCTCTAAAGAAAGAAAGTTGGAGAAGTAGGTGCAGAGCTGAAGATCCAGAGGAAAACCAAATGGCAAAGTAATGCTGGGCGGCGTGTGGAAGGAGGCCTGGGCCTGGATGCTGATGCTCTTGCAGAGACCTAGGAGAGGCCACAGGCACAGAGCTCCCACAGAGCAGAGAGGGGGTGGGCTGTCTCCTGGGTCAGGGGCTGTAGCACAGGAGCCATGGCGCTCTCTACAGGAGGGCAGGCCCCACGGGAGCCTTGACCTAGGGCTTGCAGAGCCTGAGAACTTTTGGACCCAGTTGACCACAACGGCAGGGTATTGGGTGGGAGGAGGGACAAGTAAAGAGGAAGGGAGGGGCATGAGCAAATTATAGTTCCAGGGAAGGAATGTGTGGTGTCTTGTTAAGAGGAAGGTGGACTAGCACATCTGGGGACAGGCTCTTTGGTAAAGCAGAAATGTTGGAGCTTTGAAATGTGCACATGAGTTAGGGGAAGCAGGAGTCACAAGGGCAAGTCTCATTACAGAAGAAAACAGGGTGAAACAGAAGAAGGGGAAACAATGAAAATTGGAGAGTACTGAGTTTATAAGAAATGGATCCGTGGCATTTGGTGGAAACTTGCTTTGGCCTTGGGAATAGGAGAACTGTAAATACGGATAATATGTAAATACCGTTTATAATTTAAAAAATCTGGAAGGCTCAAATGAGATAATCCTTCTGAGGGCACTTTGACAAGTATGAAAGAAGATATTTGTGGCCAAGAGGAATGGAAACTGGGTGTGGAGTCTAAAAACGAGGGTTCGAGAGCCAGCTCTGCCTTCAGGGTAGACAAGTCACGGTCTCATTTGGTTCAGTGTCCTCAGCCGGGAAAGCAGCAATGACTGTTCTTTCCCACGATGGCTCTGAGGGGCCATATTCATTTCCTTGGACTGCTACGACAAAGTACCACAAGCTGGGTGGCTCAAAACTACAGAGACTTTCCCCGTACAGTTCCAAAATCAAGGTGTTAGCAGATGTCCTTCCTTGCCTCTTCCAGCTCCCAAAAAGCTCAGTGTTTCTTGGCTTGTGATAGCATCGCCCCAGTCTCTGCCTTCTTTACATGGCCATCTGCCCCGTATCTCTGTGTCTTCTCCTCTTTTTCTTTTTGATGTGGAATCTCGCTCTGTCGCCAAGACTGGAGTGCAGCAGCTCAATCTCGGCTCATTGCAACCTCCACCTCCTGGGTTCAAGCCATTCTCCTGCCTTAGCCTCCCAAAAAGTTGGTACTATAGGCATGCACCAACATGTCCAGCTAATATCTGTGTTTTTAGTGGAGATGCAGGTCTCGAACCCCTGACCTCAGGTGATCCACCTGCCTTGGCCTCCTAAAGTGCTGGGATGACAGGTGTGAGACACCACACCTGGCCCCTCTCTTATTCTTATAAGAACAGCAGCCATTGAATTTAGGGACTACTCTAAATCCGAGATGATCTCATCCCCAAATCCTTAACTAATTACAACTGCAAAGACCCTATTTCCAAATGAGGTCACATTCTGAGATCCCAGGTGGACAGACATGTTTTAAATTTTTTTTTAGAGACAGAGTCTTGCTCTGTCACCCAGGTTGGAGTGTGGTTGCAGGATCGTAGCTCACTACAGCCTCGACCTCCTGGCTTCAAGTAAGCCTCTTGGTCTCAGCCTCCTGGGTAGCTGGGACTACAGGCATGTACCACCTTGCCCAGCTAATTAAAAGCAGGGTTTGTTTTTTTTTTTTTTTTTTGTAAAGGTGGGGTCTTGCTGTGTCACCCAGGCTAGACATGAATTTTGGGGGGATGCTACTCAACACACTGCAGGGTCTAAACAGCAATGAAGCAAGAATATCAAGTAGATTGGGAGTGTCTTCCCTATACTTCTTCTTATTCTCCGGAAGCCACTCTATTTCCAATTTCTCTACACACACCTCTAATGGCTGCCATTGCCCACAAGATAAAAACCCAGGCCCTCAAGGATGGCACTGCAGGCTCCAGTCCCTTATTTCAGTCTCTGTCCCTGACTTTTTCTCAGCTTCCCCACATCCTCCGCTCAGTGACCTCAGCCAACCACTTCCTTCTTAATCTTTATGACCCAGTTGAAAGTCCCAGAAAGGGAGTTTCATGCACTCACCCCATGGCAAATGCTTCCTGCTCTGAACACCTTTGACAGAAATTATTTTGTTCTTTTACCTGTGGTTAATCAGCTCTCCACACTCTCTTGGATCAAGCTGAATTGAAGCCTTTCCTTCTGCACCTGCCAGGCACTGAAGATGGAGGAACTGTTTGCTTCTCCTTTGGACCTCCAGAATTGAGTTTTGCATTTGCCACAATCCGGGTCCTTAGTAACACGCTGCATTATTTAATTCCCGCTACACCAACTCTGTTCCTGCAAAGATTTCATCTCTTCTACCATGCATGGCTGCATATCCTGTTCACTTTGATCCAAAGAGATGCTATTCTCCCTGGAGCTTCTGGGGCATCTGCATCTATTCCCCCATTTTGGTCCATTATGCATCAGTCACTCGTTTATTCACAAAGATTCATGGAGCACTTAAGCTGCTCGGCTTTGTGCTGGACTGCAGCGATCCAGCCTGTGAGCCTATCTCGTTCTCCCATTCTGAGGGCAAGGGAATGGTTGCCATTGCCCACAGGATACAATTCCAAGCCCCCAGGTCTGGCACTGTAGTGGCCAGCCTGTTCCTCATGGGCCTGACATCATTCTTCAAGTGTTATGCACGCTTAATTGGACAGTTCCATTCAAATGGTTTTAGTTAATTCTTAAAGGGCAATGCTAAATGAAGGACTAAAAGAGCTGTGAGCTTAACTGGGGGACGCAGATCCCTTTCACAGGGCCCCACAAGAGAACCAGGTCCTGAATTCTATAGCCAATGCCAGAAACGAAGAGCTCGATGTGGGATGGGCCAGGCTTTCAGGAGTGGCTTTCCAGGGCCCACTGTGCTGCGGAAGGGGAGAACACAGCCCAGGTCTGCCTTCTGCATTTGCCATGGCAGTGGCTGTGCTGCCCCTCCCTTGGCCTCTGGAAAAAACCCTGGAGAAACCTTGCAGGGACCAGAAGGAAGCGGGAATGTGTTGTTCCAGTGTGATCACAGGTGGGGTTGTGAACTTGGGACAAATGGGTGCCAGGGAGGACTGTCCCATGCAGTGCACTGTGCTGTGCAATAAGGCAGGTTCAGGGGACAAACTGCACCCCTCCAGCCAGCCACAAAGCCCCTGGCCTTTCCTCCTGCACCAGCCAGGCAGTAGGATCCATAACCTCCTCCCCTGTGTCAAGGGGGACTAGATGGTGGGGGGCGGGCAGGGGGCAAATAACAAGCAATATTAGTTCCAGATGCTTCTCTGGCCTGAGTTTTTGACATGCCCATGGGCAAACTCAAGGTGCTTTGGGCAGCAAACAGACACTGCCAGGGGTTCTTGGTGGAAGAGAGTCACTCACCGGCATTGTTCTGCTGCTTGGTGTTTTTGATGTAGGCAGAGAACTTGGAGAAGATATCAATGCCTGCTGTGTTGGATTCGCGGTGTTTTGCAGCCAGTTTGGGGTACCTGGAATGGAGGATGCAGTGGTCGGTGAATCAGTAGCCTTAGAGCTCCTTTAAGGGCGAGCCTATATCGGGATGAGCAATACTTCCCTTTCCAGCTGCATCTACACATGTTTGGGGGTCTTTATCCCCATCCTGTAGGGAGGGTGGGCACTCTCCAGCCCTAGGTCATTCATAGAAGAAGTCAGGGGCCAGTAAGGTGCTGAGACCTGCCTAGGGTGACAACAGTCTGCTAGGCAAGGAACCAGAATGCCATTCAGGGGACTCAGGGTGTGTCCTCTTCTCAGGACCAGCAACAATGAGGTGCCAGTGAGAAGGTCCCATTAAAGTTCCCGCTGAGCTTGCCTCTCTACCAGGTAGGGTTCTTGACACTTCCACCACCCACTAAAATAACCATCTACGGCCAGTCCTGCGATTATAATTCTAGCTACACAGAGATAATTCTGGGAGCATGGAGATGCCAGGTATGTTAGCAGTAAACCATTTTTCTAAAGGAAGAATACCCTTGGCCCTCTTCTGAAATGTCCTTCACACGCTTATTATTTGTGTGCGGTGATAAGATGCAGAAACTACCAAGCTTCAGCTAAGGACATGTGTTTTCAATTGTTTTATTGTATCTTATTTGGAGATAGATTTGCAGTGACCCAGCCCCTCTCTCTCTTTCTCAGAGCCTTTCATGTTGAAGCCGGAATAATGCAAGAGGCAGGCTGGAGTTAGGACGATTGGACTTGAGACTGAAGGAGGTCAACTTGATCGTGTGGGAACCCATGGCTTGGACCCATTAGACCCATTAAAATGAGAACATAAGTTCAAATAAATATTATTTCACCAGCATGTTATGGGTATGGCCAGGTAGGGGTGGGTAGAGGTGGGGGGCCGTTGCCAGGTTATCCTTATTATCAATGAATGTGTGCCTTTGTAATCTCTGGGTGAATAGTTTTCGGCTGTGGGCTGTTGGGTTGCTTTACGTTTAAAAAGTAAAATCCCTTTTTGTTTGTTTGTTCTGGTGTTTTTAAACAAGCCTTTAAAACCTATTTGTTGTTCTTTAATGCTTTTTATTCCTCAACTGACCCATGAGCTAGAACTGTCCCTTTTGGGGCCAAGTTAGGTGGCTGTGTAATTTCAGAGATACTTCTATTGGAAGAGCCAAGCTCTCTACTATGAGGCAGGTAAGGAAGGCATTACTGTTTGCTTTTTACACAGAAGGGAACTGTATACCTGAAAAGATAAATAATGATTTAAAAACCATGGCTAATAAAGGGTGGAGGGACAATGAGGACCTGGTTTCCCGGCCTGCAGCAGGGTCCTTCCATCTCCACTGCTTCTCTGGAAACAGTAAAAGGAAATTTGCATTGGGCACCTACTGTGCAGCAGGCACTGTTCTCGTCCCTTTACAGGTATTCACCATTTACTCCTCATCACAGTTCTGTTGGTACTATTATTAGCTTCATTTCCTACATGGGGAAATGGTGGCATAGAGAGATTAAGCAATTTTCCTAAGGTCACATGGCTGGGTGGCAAAGCCAGCATCCCAACTCGGGCAGTTTCACTGTGGAAGACTAGGTTTTAAATTCCACATTGTGTGGCTTCTCATAAACTCCGCTGTGGACTCTGGAAGCCCCAGAGCCCAGAGCCCTAAAGGTTGAACTGAACACCATGGAGAAGCTGTCTCCATCCACCAGGAGGGGGCGCCCGGCACCGATGCTGCACACATGTCTTCCTAGGTAGCACTGAGAATTATCACATTCATCTGCTGTGGCTGGGGAAACACAGCAGGGCTTCCTGCAAGATACTAGGTAATCTACCAAGACTTGGAAATTTAGTGTCATCTCTTCCAATTTTGGCCTTCTCACATAGAATCCAGCATACTATTAGAATTGATAGACTTAAATTATTAACAAATGCCAAGTGATTGTTTCTCCTTGATAATGTAAAGACAGAGAAACCTAGAAAATGCACCCCAGTGGGCAGCTTGTCTGGGTTTGTTGCTTTGTTTTGCTCTATCTCATCAATCGGTCAAAATTTCAGTCAGCTGATCATTTCTTCACAATCAGGGTGAGCCAAACAGGGACGTGTGGTACCAAATCCAAGATGAGGACAGTGGATCATGTATTCAGGGGCCTATGGTGGTGTGATCCTGTTTCCCAAGCACTAGAACTCATTGGGACTTTATTGGATAGTGCAGTATTCTATTTGAGCTTTGTTCTTGTGGGAAGTGTGTCTCTAAGATGTTAATCTCACAAATTTCAGCAACTATACTGGGAGAAGCTACTATACAGGATAAGGGCATTCGTTTTAGCTCCATATTGATGCCATGTTTGAAATATGCCATTGAGTGGGTTACAAAGTACATTCTCTTTCTCTAAAAGGCTAGAGAAGAGTGTTTCATTCACCAAAACAGCTTTGAAATCACACTGGATGTGATCTGACAATAATCAAAGAGATGATCAATTTTTCTAACTCAGGAGTCAGGAAACTATGACCCATGACCCCTATTTGTCTATGGCCCTTAAGCTAACAATGGTTTTTACATGTTTAAATGCTTGAAAAAGGCCGGGCGCAGTGGCTCAAGCCTGTAATCCCAGCACTTTGGGAGGCCGAGGCGGGTGGATCACGAGGTCAAGAGATCGAGACCATCCTGGTCAACATGGTGAAACCCCATCTCTACTAAAAGTACAAAAAATTAGCTGGGCATGGTGGTGCGTGCCTATAATCCCAGCTACTCAGGAGGCTGAGGCAGGAGAATTGCCTGAACCCAGGAGGCGGAGGTTGCGGTGAGCCAAGATTGCGCCATTGCACTCCAGCCTGGGTAACAAGAGCGAAACTCCATCTCAAAAAAAAAAAAAAAAGAAATATATTCTAAATGCTTGAAAAAAATCAAAAGAAGGATACTGTTTCATGACATGTGAAAATAATATGAAATTCAGATTTCAATGTTCATAAGTAAAATATTATTGAAACAGTCATGCCCATTCATTTACATACTAGGTTATGGCTTCTTTCACAGTGTAACAGTGGAATTGCAACAGACATTGAACATCCCACAAAGCCAAAAATACATGACTATCTGACCTTTAACAGACAAAATTGCTGACTCCTGATCTAACTGATGAAAATTTCTCTCCACCCTGTTTTTAAGATATCTTATTTCAAATACATGCACTTAACTTTCATTCTGGGAAGTAAAACAGTTGGCTTCTCATCAAAAAGAAAAAAGACGAAATTTCTTTTTCAAAAGTAGAATATAGTAGCAAAAAACAACAAAAAAAGAAAAAGCCATTGCAGATGGTAGTTCCCTATCTGACTTCTCACTGATTTCTCAGTGACTAGCCGCAGCCAACCAGGACACTGAATTAAAGGACACTTGCCATGCATTTAAACCAGTGTGCAAGAAACACCCACCGAGGACCAGGCCCTGAGACTGTTTTTTGGGATAGATACCCTGGAGAAAAAGAAAGATAGTTCGGATGGAATGACCTTGCTGATGGCAGCTTGAGTGTTTTCCTTCCTTTTTCTAACAAGCTGAAAAGTGAAGGGACTTCCTCTCTCTCTCCTTTCTCTGTTGTTCCCACTTCTTTACATCACCAACCCCTCACACAAGAAGGAGGTTAATGTGTCTGACTTTCCTAATCCTTGACTGTGTGCCTGTTTGTCTCATCTCTGCTGTGTAAGCAAAAGATCCCTGGAGATGGAAGAGGCCTGGCTTATTCATTAAAAGATATCCTGTAGGATCTGGGGTTTTGAGACCGAAGGTCACCAATTGTCTGTACAGTTGCACGTGGGAGACAGACCCAAAACAGGCACTGACTGCTCTTTCTAATTCTTTGAGCTACCATTTGATGAGGTCTTACTTCATATCAGGCACTAGGCTCAGTAGTATTATTTTCTATAAAAGCCCTAAAAGATCGGCAACATGGTTCTTATTTTGTAGATGTGAGAATTAAAGATTCTAGAGATTTCAAGTGATTTGCCTGTAGCAGAGAATATGCATACTCACTAAACAGCCATGCAATTCTATTTCCCAGTTTCTCTCTCACCTAAGTTGGGATCATGTGCGGATTCTGACCAATGGGATAGGAGAGAAAGTAACATCATGCACATCCCTGGCCCTACAAAACACTCTCTCTCCCTGCTGAAGGAGCCTTGGAGGGCATGTATTCCAAAAAATACAAGATGGAAGAGGACCACACTACCCACTCAGAATTTGCTCAAGTGAGAAATAAACCTGTGTTTTGTTAAGCCACTGTGATGTTATGGCTGATTTGTTACTGCAGCATAGTACAACCTAGTGGTATGGATTTGAACCCGAGTCACTCTGATTCCAAACCTCATGCCCCCAGCTACCATTCCATTCTGTGGAAGTCTGGAGACTGTTTCTCCACCTCCCAGAAGGTCTTGTTTTTCACTGTGGTGGGTTATCGCTATATATTTTCATTGACACAGAGTCTCACTCTGTCACCAGGCTGGAGGGCAGTGGCACGATCTTGGCTCACTGCAACCTCTGCCTCCTGGGTTCAAGTGATTCCCCTGCCTCAGCTCTCGAGTAGCTGGGACTGCAGGTGCGTGTCACCATGCCTGGTTTTAACAATTTTTTTTATTTTTATTTTAGTAGAGACAGGGTTTCATCATGTTGACCAGGGTGGTCTCGATCTCCTAACATCGTGATCCGCCTGCCTCAGCCTGGTGCTGGGATTACAGGTGTGATCCACCGTGCCCGGCCTACATTTTTAAAAATAATGAATTCAAGTTGTCTTCCAATACTGTCAGTGTTCCAAACCCTGTTGATACTTAAATCATTCTTGCTAGTTGACTGACTAAATGATATACCATGTAACTAGACTATATCAGTCTAGTTGGTCCTGAATTTTTGTTACAGCATCTGTGTACTAGGATTATTTGAGACAGCAACCAGCTCTGGGAGAGTACTTTGAGAAACTCATGGAATTGTGGAACATGCACCAAAAGGCATCTTGGAGACTACGTAGTGCCATCCTCTCATTTTAAAGATGAGAAAACAAGGCGTGTCTGAGAGGGAGAGAGGCTTGTTCAAGGTCATACAGAGACACTGGTAGAGAGGTGACCAGAGGTAGGGCTCCTGACTCTCAGTGCTGAATCCTAGAAACTTCGTCCACTCCATGGAGATGAAACACAAGGGCCAGAATGTCCCGACAGTCACCCCAGCATTAGTCACAACACCTCCTTGCTGACTGTTCATTCACTGGGCCAATCTAGAAAGGGACAGATGTTAGTCTCATTTAGAAACAACTTGAGATTTCCTGGATTCCTCATTTTGACACTAAATGCTCCCTGAGATCAAATGTGATTAAAAAAAAATGGTTGTAGTGTTTGTATGTGGTTTTCTCCTTTAAAAAATAAAGCTAAGGGGAAAAAGGCTCCCATAATGTCTTGGCTTTTGGCAGCTTTTACAAATAGTGGTATGATGAGAAACACATGGCCGATGAGCGCTTGGGGAATGGTTTGAGGGTTTTGCTGCCCCCTAGAGAAACAGAAGACCAGGCTGCCCTGCTGCAGATGCCGCACACCAGCCTGAGTGGCTGGGGAAGCTGGAGAGGCTGGTGGTTTGTTGTGGACAGACCAGCAGGCTTCTATGGGGCTGAGGCCCTGGCTTGGTAACATTTACTGGGAGTAATTGTGGCAACTGCCTCAGTCTGATGGGTGCAGAGGCATCTAAGGGACACTCCTGAAGGGCTCTGGAATACTTGATGGTCTCACCCTTAGCATCTTCACCTTGGTAGCCTCCTGGAGATGTGCATTTTAACAGCTTCAAGGATTTTGCTACCTGAGTGTACTGGATTGTTAGGTCACTAACATGGCAGCAATGCACTTTATAGAACCTCGTTTACACAACTACAGTCCAGAGAAGGACCTGGACCAGAGGGAGCAGAGCTCAGGACAGGGAAGGTGGGTGGAGAGGGTAGAGTGGGGGGAGGGTCCACATCCAGCCCTGCCCCCCCCTATTTGGATCATGGAAACTTCACTATGTGATGAAATATTGATGAAGTCAGGTGATGAGCTGCCTCTGGAAGAATGTTCAAGGACACGTGCGGCATACTATTCCAGCAGTCTCTGGCCTGCCTTGTGGTCCCACTGTGGTTGCAGATTGGAGACCTCTGAGTTAGAGAAGCAGCCCAGGAAAGGCACAGCTGTGCTGGGGGTGGTGTGGTGGTGGGGGGTACCTTGCTAAAGGGCATGTGAAGAAGCAAAGAGCAGGAAGGGCTCTGGGAGGCATCCTGTCACAGAGAAGGGAACAGAGGCTGAGAGCAGAGAAGGACTGCTTCAAGAGGTCACAGCACATCACTAGCAGACTAGAACTGTATCCTAGCCCCTCACCCCTCCATCCACTGCCTAGAAAAAGACCAAATGGGCTCCTCTGCTACTCACTGCTTCCAGTTCCATTTCCTAACGATCATGATGGAAGCCCTCACTCCTGAGTTGCCAGTGTTACTTCTAAAAGGGAAATGTTAACTGCATCATGAACTTTCCCCTATGGGTCTCCCAGGCAAAGTCTAAATTCCAGTTATTGAAAAGAACATTTTTTTTTTTTTTTTTTTTTTTTTACATGTGGGATTTCAAACCAATGCTAGCAATGAGGTTGAGTCCTGGGGAGGGAGATGGAGTCTGGGCTCCCTCAGGGCACTTGCAGTGAAGTGACTGGCTGGTGTCCTGTTCAGACATGTGTGTGGCTTCCAGCAGTGGCTGAGCTGGAAGTTATATGTGAGGTTGCCCTATTGATTTAATTAATGCGCTTATTTAAAGTCTATACTCAGCTGCTTCCAATGGGCTTAAGGTGGCTTCCCACTCTCAGGGTGAAAATAAACTGTTTCAATATGGACGGCAAAGAATATTTCTAAGGAAGAATGTGTGATTGCTTAAGGACTGATTAGAGCATGACTGGGAGCTTTAATTTTTTAACAGCGATTCACTAGATGTGCCACCTTGGGTAAGTGACTTAATCTCTCCCTGCCCTGATTGTGAAATGAGGTTAATGATAGTACCTACCTTCCAAGGCTGCTAGAAAGATGAAATGAATCACATTAGCTAAGTGTGGTGAATGGTGCCTGATGCGAAATGAAGGCTATGAAAGTGTTGATAAATAAGTAAAACTTTAAAATAAATGCAGGATGGTGGTTTTTCGTAGTCAAATCCCACTTACTGTACCCACTTGGTATGTCCTGAACCCTTCCTTCTCCTCTCCCCCGATTTCTTGCCCTGCCTTGTCTCAGCCCTTCATTCTGTTCTGCCTGGACGGTCACCAGTGGCTCCCCAAAATTAATTCCTCTATCTCCAGCTTCATGGTCCTCTAGGATACCAGCTTCCCTCAACCTCTAAAGTAGGTCTCAAAAGGGACTCCCCACCTCCTGTGCTTAATCCCTTTCCAGATACCCCACGGAATTCACTACGGGATAATACCCTACAGGATAAAGTCTATGCCTCACTCTATATGTAGTATCATTTTTCTCGTGTTTTTCAAAAATTTTTATTATTTTAATCCCCGATCACAGCATTCTTTAATGAACAGGTCTAGCTTGAGGAAATTTTAGAAGTGATCAGTCTTCTTTTTACTGCTGTTTTCTAACAGTAGCGACGTGTCACCCAACAAAAATTTGGAGCGCCCTGGTCTACACGCTCCCTGAACCTGTTTGCAAAAGAGGAGCTGCTTTCAGTTAGTTTGTCCCTCTGCTTAATTGTGGAGTCAGACCAGATTTGGTTAGGTATAAGACCCTGGATGTTGTTTGAAGTCACTGGCCTTTCCTGACTTCTTTTCATGCTGGCAGCCTTTCAGCTCTGGTTCTGAAATGAAGGAAACTTTTTCCTCATTTCAAGGTCTTCCAAGCAAAGTGAGTTGGAGAGAGGGGGACATACTGGGGCAAGGGAGGTATGGTGTCCTGGGCTCCTAAAATCACTCTGTGTAGGTGGGAGTCACTGGCTCTCCTTCATAGGCCCTATCTACTCTTGAGTGGATTTCATGGAGCTGTTTTGAGATTGGCATCCCTCTGGGGGTCCCAGCTCTCTCTTTGAAGAGAGGGTCCTGTTCTCTGGACTGCTGAGGTTCATTTGGAAATGCATCTGCTCAAAGTTAACACCAGGCCTTTGTAGATCCACCATGAACCCTTCCCATTTCTACAGCTCGGAAAGAAACAGATCCTTACTTTTCAGGGGTCAAGGTCTCCTCCAGGAACTCTTCGATCTTATTGACATCTGTTTTCACATCCCCGTTGAAGGTCAGGAAGGGCGGGTGCGTGCCGGGGGCCAGGTTGTGCAGGTCCGCTGGCTTTCTGTAGAGAGAGCGAGATTCAGGTGTTGGCTTACAGCAGGGTGCTTCCTGTTCTGGGAAACCTAAGATTGATTGTAACTTAGATTCCCTGTGCTAGCCAACATGTCTGTCAGGGAAAACAGATTTATGGTGTACGGTGTAGGGCAGGGGAGGTTGGAGGAAGCTCTGGAAGAATGTGATGTGACCCAGGAAGTGTGTCCAGTGGAGTCAACCGGAGAAGAACAAGTCAAGGTGAAGGAGTTGAGTGCTGTTGAAAAAGTGGAGAGAATCCAGGTGATTATCTAAGTCAGATCCAAGCTCTAATTACCCATGGTAGAGGTGGAGTTTTGCTTTTAAAAGCTCTTCAGGCCGGGCACGGTGGCTCACACCTGTAACCCCAGCACATTGGGAGGCTGAGGCGAGTGGATCACCTGAGGTCAGGAGTTTGAGATCAGCCTGACCAACATGGAGAAACCCCATCTCTACTAAAAATACAAAATTAGCCAGGTGTGGTGGCACATGCCTATAATCCCAGCTACTTGGGAGGCTGAGGCAGGAAAATTGCTTGAACTGGGGAGGCAGAGTTTGTAGTAATCCCAGAAGATGCCATTGCACTCCAGTCTGGGCAACAAGAGCAAGACTCGAAAAAAAAAAAAAGCTCTTTCACTAATCTGCCTAACAAAAATGCACTAGACATAATAAAAAATTAGCTGAGCATAGAGGCATGTGCTTGCAGTCCCAACTACTTGGGAGACTGAAGCAGGAAGATTGCTTGAGCCCAGGAATTCGAGGCAGTTGTGAGCCATTGATGGCACCTCTGCACTCAAGCCTGGGTTAGACTAGGTCTCAAAGCAAGAATAATAACAACAACAACAACAGAAAATCATACATTTTAAATTTAAAAGTGAGTGATTTTAGCTTCAGAATTAGAAGTCAAAGGTTGTTCTGAAATTGGTAAAAACGTCAATCCAGTTATGAAGGCTTTCTGCTTTCAGCTGAACGTGGCGAGAACCAGGAGGCAACCCCACTGCTGTGTGTATTTATGCGCCACCACAGTCAACCCCACTGCTGTGTGTATTTATGCGCCACCACAGTCTACCTTTTACAGTATTTTAACTTAATTCAAGCATCCGCTATTATTCGCCAAATGTGACTATGATGCTTCTAGGTTTAACAGAAAGAAGTTATTTTTCTTGAAACATTTAAAAATTCTCTTCAACATACATACATCAAAAATCTCCTAGGAGTCAGAAATTGTGCCTAGTTTTAAAAATTATGAGGTTACTTAAATATTATCTTAAGTTAAAAACAATGTACTTTCTAAGTAAACGTAAATTCTGCTTTCTGAGGGGATTCGAATAGAGCACTTGGTTTATGAAAGTTATTTCTTTTTGTAGCGAACTTTGCTGGGCCCAGTAGTATCTTTTAGGTAACACACACACACACACACACACACACACACACACACATATATATATATATATATATATGTAGGCTACCTAGTGTTTATATATATATATATATATATATATAATAGGCAGCAAATTTGCCTAAGAAGACAGAAAGCTCTTTGGTGTGCCTGTTGGTTTCTGGGTCAGACACTTAAAGAAATCTAAGATAACCGAACTAACAGTGCATTTCTCCCCCTGGGAAAGAGGAGACCCAAAAGTCCTAAATTACCCAGAAAGAAAGGGCTAGATGATGGAGAAATGGGTGAAAATCTGGAACGCAGCCCCAGTTGAATGAATGAACAATTAATTAACTGAATAATTATCAGAACTTCCTGCCCTTAGCCCACAGCAGTAAGTGGTGTTTCTGGCGTGCACTGGGGAACACACTGACTACCTGCAGGACGGCCAAGTGCAGTGGGACGGGAAGTGGCCTCGTGTTTGACACGGGTCGGTCCTGTGAATACCCAGGGGTGTGCTTCTGTGTCTGTGCCAGCTGGTCAGAATGCAAGAGCAAGAATGGAGCAAAGTGAGGGGAAGAAGGGTTGGCAGATTGGGGAAAATGGGAAAAGGGAAGGTTACACTAAAAAAAAAAAAAAAAAAAAAAAAAAAAAAAAAAAAAAAAGAGTAGGGAGAGGAGGGAAAGTGGTGGCAACTTCCAAGATGGGGCTGGAACATCAGATTCACCCCAAATGCTCTCTCTGAGAATGCCACATTTCTTGTGGGAGTCGGGAGTGGAAAACATTAGAAGCAGAAACTGTAAAAAAGTAAACAGTGGGGATAGAGGAGTCTGTAATGAAACAAATTCCTGGCGTAATCAGTTTGGGAGGGGAAGAGAAGAATTTCAATTACTGTGCTACTCCCATGTCGCTCCCCAAACACATACACTCTCCAGCTGCATTCTGAGGCACTTGGAACTCAGACAATTGAGACGGAAAGTATTTTTAAAATCTAATTTACGTAGTCTCTGTGTTTACTTTGTGCATATCCCTCATTTCAGACAATGAAAGGACATTCTTTATTTGCTCCTGGTTTTTAGAGCTGACACAAGGCAACAATGTGTGCACTGTTGGTCACCTCTCTGTGGCTTAAAAGATACAGAAATGTGTTGTGTCTGTGGTGGTGGCGGTGGTGGTGGGCTTTCTTTCTGGGCCTGTCAAATGCGCTTGGGAAGTACTGCTTACGGCCACCGACACTTAGCTAGAGTTGCAGCCCTCTCTCTTTGTTGGCTCCGATTCAGCATTTATAGTTGAGACTACATCATTAGCATGGGATGACATATTGCCAGGTCTGATTTATGAACTAGGTAAGGAGTATTGGTCTCCTTTTCCTTGCTGGATTTCCAGCTCCATGAACCCAGTGATAGTCCTAAGAATAGCCAACACGCATGAAGTTCCTGCTGTGAGCCAGGTACAGGACTGATGGCAAATGCTTTACATGGCCTGCCTTGATAAATCCTTACAATAATCCAATTGATTAAAAAGACACTGTCTCCATTGTACAGATGAGGAAACTGAGGCACTGAAAAGTTCAAGATTATTCAGTCACTAAAGGGTGGTATCAGGAAAATAAATTAGTTTTCTTAGAAATTAATGTGTGTGTTGGTGGGTTGGGGAGGGGGGTGGGAAACAAAATCTTCTTATCTGTAAGACTGGAGTGGTGCTACTTGCCTGGTCTACGTCAAAGGGGTGTTGGCTGGACCAGATGTGATCACATGAAGGAGGAACCAAAGCATCTGAAGCACGCGGGCAGGGGTGGTTCCCTTTCCCACCCCCATCTCCAGCAGACGCACAAGTCCTCTCTCACACAGGGCAATCCAAACACTTCCAATTCTCTGCTGAAAGAGGCTGCTCTTTCAGAAGTCTCCTGCTTTCTTTAGTTATTGCAGGCACTGATTGCATAGTGGATGCCAGTTCATTTATTTGAAAGATAGTTGAGGACCTATAAAAAGCTGGTTGCTATGGAGGATACAAAGAAACTTAAAACATGAACCTGGTCTGCCCTTGAGAGATTTAAGGTCTCATTTGAAAGACAAACAAACTTCATAACTAATGTGATTACCAAGAGCATAGTATTTGAACCAAGGAGATGGAGTTTTTAGCCCCTTTAATTTCTAGTTGGCATCTTCGGCGAATCAGTTGAATACACCTGTCTTAGTTTCCTTGTATAAACAACACAGAGAAGTAAGACCTTCTTCACAGGATTATACATTATGTGATTTTTTTTTTTTTAATGGGAAAGCACTCACCGGTTGTAAAGCATTAGGGGTGCAGACATCATAACTTGGTGAAACGCTAAATAACTACCCAAGGCAACAGCAACATAGGCAGCAGGTGCTGGGTGAGTCTGGAGGGAGGCTGGGTAGACAGGTGTGCTTGTGAGTGTGGTGGGGTGGGCATGAGAAGGTCGCACAGAGGGGATGGGGCTGAGGCTCAGCCTGGAGCCAGGGACGAGAAGGAAGAGAGGGGCTATTTTAGACAGAGGATGCAGCTCAGCCAAGGAATGGAGGCTGGAAGGAAGAAGAACAGCAGAAGGCAGGCCAGCCTGACAGAGTAGACAGGTCATGGTGAGACGCGTTGAGAAAGAGTGCTGGGAAGAATGAAAGACAGGACAAATCAGGGCTTTGGATGCATTAATTCAATGGACAATGGAAAGCATCAAAGGTTTTTTGAGCATGAAAGTGGCCTGATCAAAGCATTATTTTAGGAAGAATAACCTTAGATTCATATAAAGGATGGGTCAGAGAGGAGAAAAAGAGAGAGAGAATGTGTGAGTCTGGAAGGATCAAGACCCGTTTGAAGAACAATGAGACCATCGGGGTGGCAGTGGTGAGACTTGAATCTAGTGTAGGCTTTGGGAATGAAAAAGAGAGTTTGAAGGAAGAGAGAATGCAATAGAACGCTCTAGACTTGGCTACCAATCAACAGTGAAGGTGGCAATAGAAAGGAGCAGAAAGTGTTCAGTGGCTAGAAAATAGAAGAAAAAAGGAATCGAGGAAGAGCTTAACTCAAAGGAAAAGGATGAAAACTGATGTATACAATGTTAGACCTATATGACAACAGAACATCCAAGTGGAAATATCTAGATGATAACAGAGCTCTGGGGATAGAATAATTCACATAAAGATGACAGGGAGAATATGCCAAGCTCACCACAGATGAAGGTAGAGGCAGAAGATGAACACTCAGGGAGTGAGCCTCGAGCTGTTCCACATTTAAACAGGTGGAAGACAGGAAACAGAATACATTCTGTAGGAGTGAAAAGAGTGCGGTTCCTGGTGTTTGTAAGTTATTAAACTGCACTTTAAAAACAGAAGAGTAGTAATTCTCCATCTAGGCCTGTAATCTAGAGCTGTCACACTAAGGACTTCTAAAGGTGGGAACACAGCATGGGAAAGGGTCTGGATCACAACTCCCTGAAGACTTGGACTCTCACACCTTTAGTCCTGCTAGGGTTCCATGGATGGTGGCCTTAGTACTCCTGAAATGACTAATCCTACAATTTTAGATGTCTGTGCTCATCTGTGTGCATCAAACACCTAGTTGCATAGCCAATGTCCGTTCCTTCCTTCTTCTTTGCTAATCAAACATTGCTAATCAGGGTAGTAAAGTGCTGGGAACCACGTGTGATGCTCGCCTTTGCAAACTCTCTTGCAGCTAAGAGTGGACCTTGAGACACAGTCCTGGACAATGAAATGTGAGCAAGGGGCTGCTAGGAGCCATGGAAAGTTTTTGCCCACCTTCATGGAAGGTTCCCTGTTTGTGCAGCTAAATATACTCCTCATGAATGCAATGTACTTTACCTTTTCAGATCCACAGTGGTGACATTGAACACGACTCCTTTCAGCCAGAGAATCATGAAGAGGCGCTGAGAGAAAGGACAGTTGCCGATGCTTTCGCCATCAGTTCCAGCCTAGAAAGAAGAGAACCGGTGTCCTGAGTGGGCAGGTGCAATTAGCAAGGGGAACGTAAGATTGTAACGCCCAAATGCAGGTCTGAGAAGAGCTTACTAAAACCATGTCCCAGCAACTTCAAAGGGCAGTAGCCTGATATTATTCATCTTTGTCTTTTTCATGTCCATGGAGGACAATGGCTAGCACCATGTAAAGGCTCAATAAACACTTGCTGAAATGAACTTGATGATTATGCAGAATCATAACTGTATGAAATCATAGAACTCTGGCATCTTGGGGTAAAAAGAGATCTGCAGCATCACATAGTCTGACACAAATGATACTGGAATGCCAACATCTACACTCCCAAGTAAGCATCTAGTCTCTGCTTGAATATCTCCACCGACCAGTCATTTGTATTAATATCTCTCAAAGCAGTTCATTCTGAGGATTGCTCTAACAATTAGAAATGCTTTTCTTTGGCTACCTAGCCAAAATATGTTCCTCTGTAGTCTACCCTCCCCCACTCCTTGGTCCTTGCTCCACATGGACGTCATGAATATAAATATCTCAGACTTTGATCCCATCTCCCTATATGGAGGGTAGTCAGGAAGCTCAAGGCTTTAATCAATACACCACTTAGCTGGCTAGTATTTGGCCTTCACTGTCAATAAACCATTCATTTGTTAAGTTACACTTTTACTCAACAAATACCATATTGACTATCAGTTCTCTGCAAGGCACTGGAGAAAATTGCCCAGGAGATTCAAAATTGCATTCCTCCAAGGAGTTTATGGCCTTCTGTAGGATGGGCTGGAGGATAAGACAGGAATAAACATAAAAATAGCAACATTATTATTGGGTGTTCTTGCACTTCTGTCATTTCATTTCCCCTTCCTCAAAATAGTAGGCTTTTTTAGGTCTGAAAAACAAGTCTATCTTTACTGCACTACTGAGTGGGCTGCAGATCCATAAATTTCACAAAGAATTAATTTCAAGCAAACATATGAATAAACAAAAAAGGTTGGGGAATCAGTCTCTGTAGAATTCATTTTCATCAGATGGTTTCTTGACTCCCAATATAGTACTCAGAGGAAGAAATAACACTTGCTCCAGACTCTGATGTTGGCTGCCCTGGAAACCATGGTCCCCGCAGGTGGCCTGGTAGAGGATTCCACTGGCAGGGAGGACATGTGTGAGCCTGGGTACTGAAGACTCCTAAAAAACTGTGAACAATCCAACCAACATCCAGGAATGGGGGCTTACTGAGATTTTTCTTTTTCAAAAGAAAGGTCGAAAACAAATGCATTCCAGTAGCTCAACACACTGTTTTCCCCCTTGAGGTTGGTTTTCCTGTGGCATTCAGATGGGAGGCAGCGATGCCTTCTTTCATACATTAGAACCTAATTGTGTGCTTATTTCTACCTTGCAAATTGCTCCCAGCAGGGACTCAGGTTTATAATGGAAAACTGGAACCTTTGACAGTGTTGGCTGTATGTAATTGCTATGAAATTACAGTTATTTTACCTCCCTCTTAACTACCCCCAAAGCCCCACTCTCTATTCAGTTCTCACTTTTCCCCAGTGCTGGAAACAGACCCACCCCTGAGTCTTGAGAGAGCATGGACTCTGTTATATAAAATGGTAAGAGGGCACAGTGTGGGCGCCACACCTGCCCACAGAGCTACAGTTACCAATAAAACACGCCCAGACAGGTGGCTATCAATTTAATAATAGCTTGGTGCTAACTTGAGTTTAATGATGTAAATTCCCCAGGGATTTCTCAAGAAGCACTTGACAGGTACCATGTTCTGAGTACTTTAAGACATCCCAACACAGGAAAAACTCCCCCAGGGCCGGTTACGGTGGAAGTAACAAGAGGAGAATTGAAAACAAGCAAAACAAAAGCAGAAGCCAGATCCATATACTGTTACCTGTTTTCCTCTGGTGGTGGTGGTGGGAGGATAAGGGAATTGAAGGAGGAACTAGCAAAAAGTGGAATTCTCAACTACATAAAAAATTCATATAATAATATAGTTAACAATAATACCTTATGTCTATATTGTCAGGCATTGTTCTAAAGGATTTACATCTGTTATTAACTAATTTATTTCTCATGAGAAGCTTGTGAAGTGGGATATTATCAGCTCTTACAAATGTGGAAACTGAGGCACAGAGAGTTAAATAACTGGCCTAAGGTTATCATCGTGGTGAAGCCAGGATGAACCCAGGTGGTCTAGCTAGAGATTCAGTGCTCTGAGCTGCCACCCATGGAACCAACCTGAGGGTCCAGCCAGGTAACATGTTCTTCCCAGGTGCTGGGAGGGCTCGTGTTGAATTGTATGGCCATCCTCTGGTCATGTGCAATCAGTTATGCCACTATTGTAGGGTGTGGTGTTCTTCATGGCTCCCTACATTTTCATTATGTCTTATTAAGCTTGTATTTAACTATGATTCCAGGTTTAGTAAACAAAAATTGCCAAAGGCCAATAGAAAGATGCGAGGATTCTACCATTTACGTCCAGTGTCTGGGTGTCTCTCTTCCAGCTGCCTTTATTCCCCTTCAAAACCCATCAGCCTTGTGGCTCTAAGACATTGTTAAACTCATGGGTTAAATGTGATGAGCTGTGACAGCCATCTGAAACGTCAACAGAGAATAACCAGATGGGGTTCAGTTGGACCCCATACCCTAAAAAGTGTGAGGGAAAACCCAGGCAGACTTTGTTCCAGAGAGATTTTGAGCACTGGGGGCCGGGGACTGGCACAAAAGCAGTGTCCTGGGCTGAATCATGTTCCTCCAAATTCATGTCCCCCCACCAGAATGTGTGAATGGGATCTTATTGGGCAACAGGGTCTTTGCAGGTGGAATCAACTATAAGATGAGGTCATATTGGATTAGGATGGGCTCCCAACATGACTGGTGTCCTTATAAGAAGAGGGAAATATGGACGCAGACATGCAGAGGACAAAGTCATGTGAAGATAAAGACAGAGATTGTATCTACAAGCCAAAGAACGCCAAGGATTGGTGGCAGACACCGAAAGCTGGAAGAGACAAGGAGGGATTCTTCCTCAGAGCCTCTGGAGAGAGTCTTGCTCTGCCCACACCTTGATTTTGAGCTTCTGGCCTCCAGAACTGTGAGAGAATCAATTTCTGCTGCTATCAGCTACACTGTGTATAGCAATTTCTTGGAAACTAATGCAATCAGAGAAGCGTCGAAAGGATAATGATATATATTAACAGCTAATGGCAAATTTCCCAAGCTCATAATTCTGCTTTAATAAAGCAGAATAATAAACAGAATTGCCTTTAAATAAACAGAATTGCCAGCTATAATCCCAAAGTACTTCCTGTTTCCTAGGTATAGTATATATAACAACTTATTATAAAATATCATATAATATATAATATTTCATATGATAACACCAGTAGTAGTAGCATAATGTAATTATATAGGCTGTATGATTACATGTCATATGTTATATGTTGGATACTTCGTATTGTATGCTATTATATAGTTCCTTTCATGTGATCTCTATATATGATGATCTTGGTTCCCTCAAAACAGAGCTGATGTTTTATTTACTTCATCTTCAGCAGCAACAAGCACGGGCACCTAAAACTTACTTCATATTCAGTGCCTGTTTAATGGATGCATATTGAGGGGATGGTGATGTCACTTCCATTTTGTGGCTTGAGGATCTCAAAATTCTCTCACTTGCATTCTGAAAATCAACCTAAAATACCTGCATACACACTACATACAATTCAGGCGTCCCCAAACTACGGCCCGCGGGCCACATGCGGCCCCCCAAGGCCACTTATCCGGCCCCCTGCCGCACTTCAGGAAGGGGCACCTCTTTCATTGGTGGTCAGTGAGAGGAGCACAGTATGTGGCAGCCCTCCAACGGTCTGAGGGACAGTGAACTGGCCCCCTGTGTAAAAAGTTTGGGGATGCCTGACATACATACATACATGGCTAGCTGATTTATGTAGCACACTAGCCAGAGACTGTGGTTCTAGACCCATCTCTACCTCTACTTCACCATGTAAATGACCTTAGGTAAGTCACCTCCTCTTGGCCTCAACCATTGCACCTATAACTTCCTGCAATTTTGTAAATTCACGTGGAAAAATTGAGATTTATTTAAGACCATGGTACTCAAACTTTTTACTCTTAGAATTCTTTTATGCTTTTAAAGATTATTGAGGATCCCAGAAAAGTTTTGCTTATATGGATGATAGTTATTGATATTTACTGTGTTATAAGTTAAAGCTAAAACATTTAAATATTTATTTATTCATTTATATAATTGCTGTAATAAATGTGTTACATATTAATGTAAATAACATCTTAACATAAAATAAGTATATTTTCTAAAAACAAAAGAAATTTAGTAAGAGTGGCAATGTTTCATATTTTTACAAAATCTTTAACATCCAGCTTAATAGATTGGCTTCCACATTTAATCTCTTGGTATTTGGTTGGTGTATATGGGCTTTTTGTGGTTGCTATTGTTTTTGAAATAGTCTTGCTCTGTCACACAGTCTTGGAGTGCAGTGGAGCGATTTCAGCTCACCGCAACTTCTGCCTTCCAGGCTTAAGCAATCCTCCTTTCTCAGCCTCCCAAGCAGCTGGAACTACGTGAGTGCATGGCATCATGCTCAGCTAATTTTTTAAAATATATTTTTTGTAGAGGCGTGTTCCTCCATTTTGGCCAGGCTGGTCTCAAACTCCTGGGTTCAAGTGATACATCTGCCTTGGCCCTCCAAAGTGCTGGGATTACAGGCATGAACCACTGCTTCTGTCCTGGTTGAGGTATATGAAGAAAATCCAAGCTATGTCACTGGAAAAGGGGGGAGTATTTTAACAGCCTGTTCAGATAATTGTGGGCATTCTTCTTTAATACCATACTGAAACTCAACACAGGGTGGTTTCTTAAAGATTGGTAGATCAGTAGAATTTGAAACCATATCGGTGAAATTCAGCAAAACCCATTCACCTATCTTGCATTTTGAAT